AATACCCTGAAACATATGAAAATACATTTAATTAAAAAATATAGTGTACTAATATCGAAAAATCAAACTCAAACTTAATTTGTATGCATTCCATTACTCACCGCATCAAATAGCCCAATGTCACTTGAACGGATATGCTAAGCGTACCAACAACTGCTATGAAAACTGCCACTTCCATTGAATTGAAGCCCATTTTCAATTTTAGATATACAAATATACATGAATATTGTCCCGCCTCGGGCAGATATGACAAAAGCACAGCGACACATTGCATTAGTATGGTCTGATCGGAGCCCACCTTGCGCAGCGCCTAGACAGACATATGTACATAAGCCATTAAAATTGAAGTGAACATCATTAAATGTACATACATACAAAAGTCCAGATACTACATATGTATGTACATATACCATATGATGGATAGGTGTATAAAGTTATCTAATTAAGTATTAGTGACTTACAGAGAAGGGATCAGCCTGTTCCCAACTAATGGGCGCACCCCATGAAGAAGGACGTATTTTTTCAGGCAAGCTTTCGGGCACGGCAACTAATATGAAGAAAACGTCAAGAACCGCAATGGCGGTCGCAAGCGCAGCAACTAATGTATCACCATACGTTTCCATTAGCAAAGCACCGAGTGCGGGTGAAATCACCTAAATGGACAAAGAAATGTAGAAAGATGAACAGAAAACATTAACACATGCATATACTAATATTCATTTAATTTTAATTTCAATTAAGTTTGCGACTTGTCGCATTTCTAAGGCGTACTACTACATTAGCACTATAACTTTACATACTTATAATCATTTTAAATATTCGCACTACATACATACAATCACACAAGAAGTAGTATACATTACCAGACTGGCTGCAAATGTAGCCGAAACTAAGCCATAAGCACGCGACCTCTCCTCGACTGTAGTGACATCAGCCACGTAAGCAAATACCACTGAGAATGTAACTGCTAGTGCACCACTTATGGAGATCATTGCAAAAAACCACCATGAATTGATGGCCATTAGCGGTATAGGTGCACATGTGAAAAATACTGTGATGAGTAGGAAAAATTTTCGTCCCCAAATATCGGAGAGCGCACCGACTAGGGGTGCGCTCAAGAAGGACAGTATGCCTTTAATGCCCATTACAAGTCCGTTCATGAGAAATGTGTGATCGGGAAATGTTTGATTTAGCGTCTGTAAAAACGAGATAAATTGGTATGTTGTGAAATAAAGAAAGCGAAGTGAAGCCAAAACTTGTACTTACCGCTATTACTGGCATTGTTAAGAGACCCCACGCGAAGAATTCTAAAAATATTACAACCAAGGCGTGATATACACTCGGCTCGCCGATGCCGGAACTCTGCAAAACAAAAAGTATACATAAATTTAATAAAATGTATATAAAAGTTATTCAGATTGAAATAAAACTGTAAAAGTTGGAGCTGTAAAAAATTAGTTTTAGAATATTTTTGGATTTTTCCAAGGCGTTTTGAAATCTTTCGAGGTTTTTTCGTACTGTTTCATACATGTAAATCTTACCCCCTTTTTTTGTTTACAAGCCTTTTTGGGATCTTTCGAGGTTTTTAAAGTTACCGAATTCCTACTATTGAATTAAATCTTGTCTTTTTTGCCTTACAAAATCAAAATTTAACGGCATTTCATGCTGGAAATATTAAAAGCTTATAATAGAAATCTGGCAAATAGACATGAGATATGGAGATACAACTTATCAATGCACTGAATGGCGATACAGGTGGCGGGCGCGTTATTAAATTATAAAAATTCTGCAAATTTTCACCAAAATTTTAAACTTTTTATTTAGAATCTTTATAAAAAACCTTGATATGCAGTTTTCTAGCCCATTTAATTAATAATGAAGTGCAAGGTTCAAGTTGCTAAAAATGCCGTTGATTTTAGAGAATTTTTCTGGTTGAAGGTGCTTGACGTTTTTTCCAGACAAAGTATGTTCGACAATTTTCTTTTATATGGGGGACACTGCCAGCAAAAAAATTGCCAAAAATCAACGGGATTTTGTAGCATGTTGAAACCTGCACTTCATTATACTCGAATTAAATGGGCTACAAAACTGCATACCAAAATTTTCTCACAGATTCTGATTAAAAAGTTTCAAACTTTGGTGAAAATTTGCAGAATTTTTATAATTTTTGTACAAAGTTTGAAATCAGAAATTACATGTTACATCAATGTTTACTGTATAACCAGCTAGACTTTTTAAAAAAAAAATAACAATAAATATGTAATAAACAAAGGAAAAATAGTCAAAACTGGTCAAATCATCGCACTCTTATAATTTTGTGGACCACTATATATATTATTATTTTATATATTTTTTCCAGAAAACAAAATTTCCTTTCACTTTTTTCGTATATTTTTCTAAGCAACCCTACTAGTCCAGAATGGATTCAAAAAGCACGTTCAATAACGAGTAAAACAAATTATTTTCCACTTAAGCAGCAATTATTCTCAAACCTAAAAGTTTATTCAAAATATCCATTAACTACGCTTCACGCCTACCTTGAAATGCAAGCAAAGCCAGCGTGTCCAATTTAACAAACGCCATTCCGTATTCACAGTAAGCACCGACGGTAGCGGCATGTCATTACCACTCGTACCCATTGCATATGCCGAACATGTCGCATCATCACTTTCGGCAACTTTTATTGGCCTTTTGTGACTTAATTTAGTAACCTGATTGAGGATGGCACGTTTAGCCAGCACCTGCTGCTGCACATCTGGAGTAGTTGTGCTTATATTGTCTGCGTCTAAGTCATTTATAGTGGTAGTAGTTGCAGTGGCGATGGAAAACGAAATATTATCCTCAGATATGGAAGTTGCATTGTTTGGATCTATAAAAAGCTGTTGCTGATGCGTTGGTGCAGAAGCAGCCGATATGGCGATCAATTTTAATTGCGCTTGTGCCACGGGCAAGGTGGTGTTCATAGCTTTCATTTTGGATAGATTAGCAAAGGGATATGAAAAATCCGTCATTACATTGGCCACATCAGCCGTTGTAGGCGTCGACGATGTGGTGTGCGATGCAGTAGACCCTTTCGAACCACTATTGTCTGTGTCTTCCCTAGCAAAAGCAGGCGGTGTGCTATTTGTAAGCTGCCATTGATGGCACTGCTGTTGGTTTTGTTGCTGATGCTGCTGCTGCTGCTGCTGTTGATGATGTTCCACATCAACCGCCGTCTGCTCTGCAGTGTTGGTAGTGTTAGTTAGAAGGCTAGCTGTATTAACAGTTGCAATTGCAGTAAATTCATTCTTATTGTGATCGTTTGCCAAATTTGCATTATCATCTCTAGGTAGATTTCCAATACTGTAGGTGCTGCTATAGCTGAGGCTGTCACTGCTGTTGCTGCTGCTACTGCTGCTGCTTCTGCTAATGATACTCCTCCTCTTGCTTTTGCCTAAAGTATTGCCGGGCATGGCTACGATCATCAGCGGCGAAGGGGCGGTGGCCACATCATCGACCAGCATATCGGTAATGGTAGCCTCATCCTCACTCTCATCGATTTCAAAGCTGGTCGTATCGGCCTCTGTGATCTCACAGCTCGACGAGACTGGATCTTCGGTGTGTGTGGAAGTTTCGGCGGCATCATGAGACGCTGTGGCATCAATGCTCATGACGGGGCAAAGTTTTTCAACTTAAATTTTAGGCAAATGTTAAACATTTGCAAATAAAGCGATATTTCGTGGTAGTCTACAATGTTGCGATATTTTTGACTTTAGCTTTATGTCGATTAATAATGATGATAAGTGATGTTTCGATTTTTTTTTTGTGATGATAAAGTTGTTGTACTTGTTGTATGTTGTTTAATTTCTTTGCCGATCCCTTGGTGGCATGAGAGCTCACACAATCTTAATTGCACACAATATCGCTACGCGTATCACACTCTTTCGATATCCGAACTGATCGTACGATCACTCTTCACTCGCCAATCAGCTATGTACATATGTATGCGAAGAATTTAGCTTATTTATTTGCCAGTTTTTTAATCACAGCATAATTTATATATACACATGTTAAAATAATTTTATTATTCTAATTATAATTTTGTTTTTTTTT